TAAAAAATATGATTTATGTTATTATGCTTTCAATTGAATACATGGTAGATGATACTCAGCTTTTGTGCATATAGATGTTTTGTGTGGACGTTTAATAAATTGAATACTAGTAGATACAGCTTTTGTGCATATAGATGTTTTGTGGACGTAATAACTAGAGACAGTCATATACATGTTTTATGTTGTCGTTTTGTTGATGTTGTATTTTGGAATACAGTTTAATTTCTTTAAGAAATTGTAGGATATTATGAGGATTAATGACATGAAAGAGTTCTTTGGATTATTTTGTTTAGTGACATATCAACACCTCTATGAGTCATTTAATGCTGAAACAAATATTTTAAGCAGAATTTTATGGCTTCAACTAAATATATTTTAAACGCAATTGCATGCCTTTAACTACAGATAAAATGTATTGTTAGTCATTTTGCTATAAAAGTATGTATTGTTGGTAACTTTACAATAAAAATGTATTTTTATACTTTCATAGTCTTTTGTTTTTGTTTGGGGGGTTCACTATTTGCCCCTAGCTGGGACCTTAACTGGTGCTACTACAGGAAGAACAGCAATCAAGAGGTGGTACCATGCTCCTCAAAACCTTCAATCTGTTGATTGGGGGTCTTGCTGTTGGATGTGCTTTTTACTGTCATATCCAGAACTATCTTATTTTGGAAAAGAACAATCACAAGAAATGAAAATGGATTGTTTACCACAATGTGGAGTGAAAAGGTTCTGGGGAAAGAGAAATGAGCCACTGTTAACCACTCCAAAACCTGTCTGCAGCCAAAGAAGAGGATATACTGGTTAACTGACTGAAAAGCAATGTGTATATTAATGACTCAAACATTGAATTCAGACAATTAGTATCCCCAATTGGAACAATTAAAAGCAGCAATTGGAAAGAATTTGAAACTGACCATTCATAAGAGCTACACCAGACCCCATGTCTCTTTACAGGAGTGACAGAAATTGGTACAGCTTGGCTAGGATATCCTACTAAATACACCATACATCCACTGTACACCCCTTGACCTTGCACTTTTTGATTATCACCTATACTAAATTCACTTTGTGAAAAGACCTTCATTTCTATGGAATCCTGTACAAACAATGCAGCCCAATTCATCACCCAGAAAGATACCATGTCCTGAGAGGATGGAATCATGAAGCTGTTTCAAAGATGGTGAAAGAAAATTGGGCAAAATGGCACATATGTGGTTAAATTAATCTATGTATATCTAAATATTTTCTTTGAAATTCACTTAAAAATGCTGCAAACTTTTGTTTCTAACCCAAATTATAGAAAACTGCCATTTAAATATAAGTGGTTGATCATCACTGTTATTCAAACTCTTAAGTTCAGCAAAGTTAAGGAGATAATGTAACACTTGTAACATAAATGAAAGTGGTTAAACATAACCTTAATTCCATCAGAAGTTAAATCATGGATTCTTCCTTGTTATTGGTGTCTTATAATGTGCTAAAATTTGTCATATGGGATGGGCAGAGAAATGGAAGCCACCAATTTATTGTCCTTTCCCTACCAATGCTATCTTTGCTATTTTGATAACTATGTTTCAGTTCGACATCCCTCTGAAATTCCTCAGATGTATATCTCATAGTGATCTTTACTTTTTTCAATTTGTATCATGCCATGCAAGGCAGTAAAGCCACTAATACACAAGGGGTTACAGGTTGTGGAAGAATGAGGAACAGAAACATTAATAATGAGCAAAAAAAGGAAAGAGGAGGACAGTAGGGTAGTGATTGTATTTAAATTATTGAAGATTAAACCTTGAGCCAGAAGGAGTTCCAAAAGTGAAAAATTCAAAAACTGTTAGCATAGAACTTATGGTTACATCTAGCCAGCTCAACTGTGAACTGATGAGATTTTGACACCAGTCTGGTAATGCGCTTAAATTCAAAGAGTCTAGGTGCCATAGCAAAGAGCTTATCCAAACAATTACCATGAAAGTATTTATAAAAAGGCACAGAGAGGCAACCTTACAGCTGTGGGTAAGTGACTGGAGCAAGTGATCAGGATAAATAATATTGCTGATTATTCTTTTGGATTTTATCAAGAATCTCTAAATATATAGCAGTAGCACAGGCCTAAACGTGGCAGCAATATTCTAAGCATTGGTGAATGGTAGATTTACAGATATGTATTACATTTATATATCATCATGTGTATGATGAGGATTCAGAAGAAGACTCCAGGTCTGCCAGTGGCACTTTTTGAGAAGTGTCAATGTGAATAGGCTATGGTAGGATTCAGCAAAGGTATCTCCCCCACCAGCTCTGGAAGATCTTGTGATACCAGGATTGTCTGTTAGTAGCCTCAACTTCATACTTGCATTAGTACAATTCCACAAGTGATCTAGGTCCATTTTAGGAAAGGTCTGTATCATTTTCTGCTGTGTTGGCTGAAGGTCACTTCAATGAACAAAGAATTTTAGAAGTTGATGGTGTTCCAGCCTTGATGCGTAGCCTGACTGATGCTGAAGATGCTAGTATTCTTGACAATTTCACTCCAGCGTGGAATGGAACCCAAGCATAGGCAGGATATCCCTTTACTACATGTTAAATTAAGTGCATGGTGGTGGAACAAAGATGAAATGATAAAAGTTTAAGAAATAAACAATTGTATCAATGTAAAAATACAACAAATTGTAAATTAGTGAAAATGTCTCTTGTTGAAAGAGTAGAATTGTAAAAGTCATCCACAGAGGCATACAGTAGGTGAGGGAGAGTCAATTGTGACTTACTGCGGTGACAGCCTTTGGTGAGTTGGCTATGGAGATAGGACGTCACATTCTGATGAGCACTGTGGATCCTGGCTGTTGTGCTGTCTGACTGCTGAAGATGTCCCTTTGACAGGCTTTTATGTCCTTTTCTTGCTCAAATTAGCTCTGATTTTTATTTCGTTTCTTTAGGCAGGAGTGGGTGCTATTGGGTGGAAATTCTGGATTGTATTTTTCTTTGTGTGTGTAAGTAAAATGGAAGCTATGTGCAGAGCCGATGTGCAGATGATGGAATTTTTAGTTCAGTCTTAGGTTTCGAGTGTTAACATATGGCCAGTGGTGGAAATTTGTGTAACATGAATCAGAAGATCTGGTTTAGGAAGATTATAACATACATTTCCTGACACAGCTTATACATATACCCTGAAGGTAGTTTTATATATAAATAATATATATCCTGAAAGTATTTTTATATCAAATTTAATAAATTCTGTATACATACAGATACGGGTAATGACACTAGTAATGATCACATAGATTTTTAAATGGTGAAATTAAGATTTCACATAAAAATATTTTATACTTTCTGTAAGTGTACAAAAACATGATTACTACATTAAAAAAATATATATAAATGCACAAATTTTTGAGATTTTGAACAATATCTTTACTGAGCATGAAAAACCTGTTAAGTAATCAATGAATGAAGGTGTTGCTGTGACAACATAGGCTATGTAGGTGGGCAGGGGAACCCCCACCCAGGGCAAATGAGGTCACTTACAACAGCTACACATCACCTAGGAACCTTCCCAGTCCTTTCTGAAATTTTTCATTTGTCGCATGTCATTTCAGCACCAGAAAAAACTTTTGAAATTTGGAATTTTGGATAACAGATACTCAACCAGTATAAGCCTCCGTTTGGTCCCAGGTGACTTTTCCTGGATTTGTCCATTGTGACATAATTTGCTTTAAATCCACACTGGATTTTGGGGATGTGATCTACAGTAGCCTTTGCTACTAATCTATCCAGTAGTAGATGTATAAAGATTTTACAAGAATAAGAGAGTAGCATAATGCTATTGTAGTTCAAGCAGTTTGATTTTTCACCCTTGTTTTTGTACAAGTTTATAATAACTGTGTCTTTGAAGTCTTGGAACATTTTCGTTTGTGTCCAGCAGCAAGCAAGGAATGCATGGCACCTTTCATACAGAGTTTGGTTTTCTGTGCTTCCAGATCTCTGGAGGAATGCCACTGATGCCTACAGCCTTATAAAACTTTGCTTTCTCAATTACTTTCGAAATATCTACAAATAACTTTCACTTCCCTCAGTTACTAACTGTTAAGTACCAAAAAACTTTAGCATGAATCAGTGAGGATACAAAGGGAGGTGAAAAGTATATAAAAAAGAAATAAATACTGAAGGTTACAGTATGGGACATACATTTGACTTGAGGAAGGCTGGAGAGCACACTGGCTGAAATAAAAATGAAGATTTAATAATTAATGAATACTGGAAGTACTTCATCTCAGAATTTTAAACAAAGAATAACAAGAGAACTCACTGATCAAAAGATAGGAATCAAAACAACAATGATGGAGATATTAGTCTGAATAATTTATTAAATAATTGGGGAATTTGAGAACTTCAGATAATGGCATTCTCCTTGTTGTCATTGTGATTATTGAATTCTGCTATTTTTCCTGCTGTGAAAAGTTATGAAAAAATCTGAAGAAAAGGCGAATTGCTTCCTCCTTCTTCTGTCAATTTGGTAAGCAACCTCCTGCTAAACTGTTCTGATATTCTGTTTGGAAAAGAATCCATAAAGTGTGTCTTCATGCTTACTCGAAGGAAAAAAACAACACCAAAAATAGTTACATAGTACATTCAACACAATCAATAACACTTGTCTTCCATTACTGAATTCGACTCTGTGAGTAAAATCTACAGTCACAGGGAATTATTGATTAAATGTAGAGGAAAAAGGAAAAAAAAAAAAATGAGCTGTTCAGAAATTTTGGTCATGTGCAAAAGATACAAATCTAGTGTTAGTGTTAGGAGTTGATTAAAGTGAAATGAACATGTTTCTGATAAGTTCTTACCTATATAGGTGTGTGTGTATGAATTATGAGAGTTCACAGGTGTGGGTGGGGTTTCAATAATGGAAAAGAGGAAAAAATTGGGTAGAAGCGTGGTAAAAAATGGTGCAGAGGAAAAATGAATAAATTAAATGATGTAGGAGAAGAAAGAAAAAGAATCTAGCAGGGGTGTGTGGAGAAAGAGAAATATAAAAGAAGAAAGAATGAAAGAGAAAAAGAAGCAAAGAGAAAGAAGAAAAAAAGACAGAGTGGAAGAGAGGAAAAGAAAGAATGACAGGAAAAGAAAGACAAAATAGAAAAAGGGAATGGGTGGGAAAGAGAAGAAAGAAAAAATAAGGAAAAAAAAATGAAAAAAAAACAAGAAAGAACAAATGTGAAAAAAATGGGAAAAATAGGAAAAGAAAGAGAAATAAGATAGAAAAAGAGAATGTGTAGCAGAGAGAAGGAAGAAAAATTAGGAAAGATAGAAAAGAGAAAATGTAAGTGAGAATAAGAACAAAAAGGAATAAGAAAAAAGGAAAAAAATGGGAAAAGAAAAAAAATGAAATAGAAAAAGAGAAAGTGTAAAAATGAATAAAATAGAAAAAAAAAAAAGCAAGAGGGAAAAAGAGTAATAATGAAAACAGAAAACTAAAATGAAAGAAAGAAAATAGAATGAAAGAGAAAAAAAATGAAGATGTAAGAATATTTAAAATTTAATAATTAAAATAGGTAGAGTCTAAATATTTTAGAGGCATGTCAAAAACTTACATAAAACAAAGACTAACATCCCTTGACAGAGTTGATTGCTGGAAGGCCTCTACAAAACTCTAGAGTCAGGATGTTCTCCATAATTTAATATTTATTGAATTTTAGGTATTTTGGCTTTAAATTTATTGCTCTTATTTTCTGATAATGTTGTATACGGATGTCTGTATTTACAAAAATTGGTATGTTTATATACACAAAAAATTCAGAGTTCTTTTAAAATATTGGGGTTTGCTGAACTGTAGTAGGCTTTGCCATTTATGAGTAATAAATATATAACAATATTACCTAACCAGTACAAATTAATACAAAAATTAAAAGATTTAAAACTTTATAAATTATTCTAATTAAAATTTTAAAAAATTGAAAACAATTCTTGTAAAAATTAATTATTCATTGAAAGTATGATTAAAAAATTTGCATACATAGTAGAAAACTGAACTTAAGGCAGTGGTTTCCAAAGTTTTTTTTTTTTTCAGGGCCACATTTTCAGAATGAAAATTTGCTCATACTTCACCAAAGGGAAGTCCTGATGCAAAGGCGCAAGCAGTGATGAAGCAAAGATCCAGAAAGAGGGTGAAAGAAAGATAACAACAGATTCGAAGTCAGAACATTATTATTGATAACTTTCTCTTCCAATTTGCAGACCCTAGTTACTATATTCTTAATCAATATCTATAAAACAGAAAACATGTGTGTGTATGTGTGTATATGTATGTATGCTATTTATACACGTCCACATTTCTTGACTGATTTTGATGAAATTATACATACATGTTGCAAATTTACCAAGTTAAGTCAAGACCAATGTTTCAATCTCCATGCCCCCATTGGCAGAAAAAAGTCAATAAAACTGAAGGGGGGTACAACTTTATGCAAAAACCAAGGTAAAGTTACATGTGAACAAAATTTTTACTGGTTGAGCTGATGTTCTTTACACTTAATGCAAAACAAAGCTGATGTTCTTTACACTTAATGCAAAACAAAGCTGATGTTATGAGGTTTATGTAAAGTACTTGATAGTTTTCCTATGACATTGGCTTCACACAAAAAATGGAAAAAATTGGGACTTTTGTACTACTTAAAATAAAAATTTGAATTACTTCCTCATTTTTTATCCAATTTTCTTCAAACATACAAGAAATAAGATAGTGTGGTTTTAGTCCTGCTCACTTCCCTGCATATAATGAAAAACTGTTCAAAAAGCTCTGATACTTCATCCCTGTTTTTGTTGGATTATTAGATTTGTGAACAATGCCATAAATTTGAAAGCGATTACAGCCATAAGAAATTTACTGAATATCTAAAACATTAAAACAATTTAACCCCAAACAACAACCACAGAAGGGATGCAGGCAGACATTTCTAGACAGGGGTATGCGGGTATACAAGGGGTGTTGTTATAGAATTGCAGCCATGCACACCATGCAATGCTGGGTACCTCAGCTAGTACTTGATATAATGCAAAAAATCACGAGAAAATTGGTCAATAATTATTTATACTTGGACTCATGAATGCAATTACAAGTAAGCCATAATATTTTAAATTTTGAAATCTCATTTATTTTTGGCATAAGAATTTTTAAAACCGTTTCTAAATCTTTGTCTTTCAGTCATTCCACCTCACCTGCTATCCTCTTCCGGCCATACGTAAAAATGCCACACCATTTTGGAATCACTGTCCTAAGATGCAAAAGAAATTCCAACCAACTGCCGTTGTTTTGAGTAAATTTGAAAATCCTGAAATCAGATAAATACACGCCTTTGCAACAGTCAACTCAAAAATGCCTGCTCATGTATGTCAAGCATCAAGCAACTTCCTTTTGTGAAAGGGAAGCAGCTAGAGATCAAAAGACTCATCAGTAACTGAAACTGCTTGCCAGTATCGTTAAATCAATAAGTTTGTACATCCTTTTCTGTTATAAACTGTAAGAAGATTTACAAAAAGTAGGAACTTTCAATCTATCAAATATATTCATCCATTTCTATGAGCATAGAAAGTCATCAACATTTTTACTATGAAAAGAATAAGATACATCCACAAAAATCAACTTGCTCAGATTTACAGTCATATGGAAAGTGAGAAGGAGATAAGGAAGAATAGAAAAGAAAAATATGAAGAGAAAGAAGAGGATATAGAAAAAGAGGGAAAGAAAAATGACTGGAAAAGATGAAGAGAAAGAAAATCTGGAAAGAAGAGAAATAGAAAAGAAAGATATAGAAAGAAAGAGAGAAAAAGATAAATAGCTATTTACACTATGTTTGGACTATTATCCTCATCTTTGTTAGCACAAAGTTTTGACAATGGAAAGAAAGAGAGAAAGATAAATAGAAAAGAAATATATGAAAAGAGAAAGAAAGATAAACAGAAAAGTAAGAAAAGAAAATATGGAAAGAAAGAGCAAAGAAAGAAAGGAAAAATATGAAAAGAAATAGAAAAAGATATGGAAAGAAAGAGAGAAAGAAAGATATATAGTTATTTACACTATTTATATTTGAACTATTGTCCTCATCTTTGTTGTTAGAACAATTGAAAGAGAGAAAGATAAATAGAAAAGAAAGATATGAAAAGGAAGAGAAAAAAAAAGATAAAAAAGAAAGAAAAATGGAATAAAAAAGAGGAAATTCAAGAAAGTAAAAGAGAGAAACGCTTGCCATAAAATGAAGATAAATTAAAGAATAGAAACCACTTACCTTTAACTAACGTATGTATCCCAAGTTTGACAGATGAGAAGTTGCCACTACCAAGTTCACCTCGAATTAAGTAAAGACCAATTCTTTTACCAAGCGATAGTTCACGTAGGGACTTAGGGTTGGTCTCCAAGTCTATTGTTAGTCTCTCATAGGCTGTCACTCACTCTCAGGAGGCCGTGGCACTGCCTGATGATTTGACAACCCCAGGTGACAGCATTCTGACTGTGACCAGTGCATTGCAGGTGGCATGGTATTTATAGTGTCTGCCCGTGTTGTAGCCATGGCACTGGACGACAAAGATGACACCATTGAAGTCATAGCTTGGGACACATTTTGCTTTTGTGAAACTTTGCTTGTTGATGTTAAAATCAGAATGGTTACTATTTAAGTTATTGTTTGTTTGATTGATAACAGAGGCTGACGAAGAAGTAGTGACATTTGTGAATGGGTTAATGACGGTTATACTTGTAGTATTCACACAACTCGTACTCTTGCTGTTTGAATGGCAGGGAATGTCTGTGTTAGCATTTATCTGGGTTCTGTTATGAGCATTGCTCTGATTTGTCACTGGATTCTTGTTAATGTCATTAACACTGGACGATTTTAACTCTGTGGCTGGAATTGTAGTTGCCACTATCAGAGATGGCGTAGTGGGTGTGACAGCGGCTGTTCTTAATGTTGTTTCGGTTGTTGGTGTTGAAGACGGCTTTAGTGTGGCAACATTCTGACCCATAGTTGTTATTTCATTATTACTGTGATCATTGGTATTACTATTGTTGTTGTTGTTGTTGTGGTGGTGGTGGTGGTTGTCGTCATTAGCAATGTTTTTATTGTTGTCATTACTCTGCATTTTCACTTGGCTCATTTGTAGCCAATATTTCTTGGACTGGTTCCATATGCAATTGTGTAATTGGAAAATTGGTAGAAGGAATTTGGTAAGATCCAGGTAAATCTTTCTATAGTCCTTTGAACAGAAATATGCCACTTCTAGCATTTGCCAATATTTTCTGTAGTTTTCTGTTTTTCAAGATTTTATTTTGAAATCCCAATGGCCATATTAATATGGTTATTTGCTAAAATTAATTTTCCTTCAGAAAAACAATTTGTCACTTTTGTGGTTTCATTTGAATAAGAAATGATTAAGTATTTTAAATATTTGTGTGAATTAAAATTATCTTTTTTGTGAATTAATTAGTTTGCTTAATTGAAACTTTTTTTCTTAAACCTGATGAAATTTGTCTCATGTTTCACATTGAACTGTCTTGGGATTTTTGGCGTTCCCATTTCATGGAACTGAATTTCTGAAAAGTATCAGAAAATTGTAGATCTGTTTATATCCTCAACAGAAGTGCAGACAATAAGTCTGTAATTTTGAATTTGAATCAATAAACAATTTTCGTTTTTAATCAACAGTTGAATGAAAATGTACAGTCAGATGTTTTGTTTCTTTCTTATCACAAAACTTCAGTGCTTCTCTGTTAATTAGAATCAAAAATATGTTGAGATACTCACTTAATACCAATTTTTTATAAATGGAAAATCTTATGTCTAGATTTTTATCAGATAAGATTTTTAAGCAAAAACAAGTACCATCCAGAATTTGTGAAATTTGGAGTCAGATATCAAATGTTTTTGGTCAACAATTGTAAGCAAATAATATAAAATTAATATATCAACCAGCAATTACAAATTCAGTCTTTTTTTTTAAATTTAAATTAAAATAATTACATAACCTTCTTGTATTAATACTGAATAAATCAATTATTTTTATATTATTGATTTTGAAATCTTGGAATGTTTTTTTGCAAATTTCATAAAAATATAAAACATGTGTTACTTTGATGATATTTTGAAGTCCCTTGATGTTCCCTTGGAGAGGGAGAGAGAAACAGGGTGGTAATCAAATTGTCTACTTAGTCCAGGTTATCAGAAATAGAATTTGGATTTGTAAACTTAGCACCATAAAAGAAAGAACAGTTCACAAGAGGAAGACAAAAATTCAAGAAAAGAAAAAAGATTCTCACCTGATTTTGTTAGCGAGAATTCATTAGTCACAGATTAAAAGGACAACATAAAAAATCCAAGCAGAATAAGAGAATCATGTAAATGTCTACACTATGAAGTGAATTGTGATTGGCTGAAGACAACCAATCAGAAATCAATATTCCGTCAAATATTTAGTCCAACCCATAAAGTAAAAATAAAAGTTCCCCCGTAAAACAAAATGAAGATAAGAGCTGTCATCCATCAATGAAGTTGGAATAATTCAGAATGGCATTTGCCAATTTTGTTGCAATGGCTGTGACGACAAGCATGTACGAGAAGGCAGATGAGTCTGCAGAGGTAGTAGCTCAAATGATGCTGGTGTCTGGAGTTGATGCACTGAAAATAGCAGTCATCATAGCAAATGGGGATGTGGCAAATAATGTCAGTTCTGCAAAAAAAAAAAAAAAAAATGGATATTTTAGGGAACTTCTGATTATGCAACATCATCAGTTTTTATTTGGAAAATCTCTGTATGCACATATAGAAAGGTGTTCAATAAAAATAAATGAGATATATTGATTCATAAATCTTCATTTTTCTTTTTTTCTCAGGAATTATTTAATGTATCATGCGACCTTTTAAGACCTAATTTTGAAACTGACTACGGCAAATGGATATATAGTTGGGTCAACAGTGCAGCCAGGGCCAGCATTACATATGCTAATTTTATATCTCATGTATGATGCAACCCACTTAAAATTAGCTTCAAAATTAGATCTTCAAAAGTCACATGGTAAAAGCTTCTCGTTGTTCTGCAAGTGAATGGCATACATTGTCAAATGTAGCCAATTGGAAAAGCTTTATGCAGCTAAGCTGTTGATATTAGAATGGCAACTATACATAACTCTTATGAGATTTACATATGAGAAAGAGAGCAACTGAATAGAGATTATCGTTACTTTTGATTAACTTCAGCTGCTGAGTGAGTTTATCTCAGTCTGAACTTCTGAGAGGAGGAATTATCATTATTTACATTCTGACTAATATCCTAATCTTTGTTATCTTTTTTAATCATTTCATTTCAAGCAAGGTGATAATGCCACTAAGATACAGGGAGTTACAGAGAATGAAAGAATGAGAAGACTTAAATGAGGAAAAGAACAATAAAGGAACAGGATTCAAGATGATGATGATTGATGTTTCATTTACATTTTTGAAGATTGTAGTTGGCGCGGAAGCAAGAAATCAGAAAGGAGTTTGAATAATGCAAGAGGAGAAACTTTTAGAATAGAACTTACATTTGCATCTAGCTAGTTCAACAGTAAAACAGGGAGACCTAGTTGCCAATCTAGCAACACTCATAAATTCATGCAGTCACAGCATCAACAAGGAAAGCTCATCAGAACAGTTGGCATGAAAATATTTTTAGAAAAGACAGAGGGAAGCCACATTATGTCAGTGAGAAAGTGACTGAAGTTGAGATGCCAGGTCAGGATCAATTACATCACGGATCCTTCTTTGAATTTTGTCAAGAACCTCACAATATAGGAGCACAAGACCAGATATGGCAGCAGTATTCAATGTATGGATGAATGTGAGCTGAATTGAAGAGAGTAAAGATTTCCATAAATACAAGAATCCCCGTACGATCGGGAATACAAAGTAAAAAAAAAAAAAAATGGTGATGGTGTCACTAGGATATAGTGGGGTTACTAGAGTTGAAAGTGAATGAGAAATCTTTAGTGAATAAGAGGACAAAGAAACAGGACTCAGGAAGACAGAAATGATGATTGATGTCACATTTAAATTTTTGAAGATTGTAGGTGAAAGGAAAACAAGAAACTGAGAGAAAGTTCCACAGGTGATAAGTGCAAGAAAACCCATTAAAATAGAAGTGACGGTTTTGATCTAGCCAGTTCAACAGTGAGACCTAGTTGCCAATCTGGTAGTATGCGTAAATTCCTGTAGCCAGGGCATTAAGGAGGAAAGATCATCTGAACAATTGCCATAAAAATATAAGGACAGACACCTGGCCCAGTGTCGGATCCTTTGGTTACGGCAAGACGATTCCTCCTGGGTCCAAGCGTGCCGCTCCAACCCTTTGGTCAGATGATCACCAGCCTCGCCTTTCCGACTTACCTGGTCACTAAAGCAACTATACTCTCCGGTCTGTCTACCCACGCTGTGTTTAGATCTTAGACAGACGGGACCAGCAGGGATCAGGGCCGATATGTTGAGTCCGACGGGGTGGCAAAACACAAATAAAATAAAACTCACGACACCAAACAAAATTGTTGATAAAAAGGGTAACAACCTTTTATATCTTAAAGTCAGTTACATAAAAAAACAAAATTGTTCTCAATTCCCGACCAAATCTGTGGACTATGGCACCAAGCTTCTATCACACAATAGGAAAATGTCAATTACCTACTTTCTAGAATCATGTATGTATGTCGGAGTGTGGTTCAGTTCGACACTGGGGCTAATTTCTATCGATCATTCGCAGTTGATTCTTCTCTCCGACTTGAGTTGTATTTCTTCTTCTTCTTCTGTTTAGACTGGTGATTTTTGTTTCAACCCAGTGGAAGATTTCTTGCTTGATTCAGTGGAAGATTTCTTGCTTCAATTCGGTGGAAGATTTCTTGTCTTCAACTTGGGCTGGAAGGATTTCTTGTTTTGAGGATTCTTCTGTCGTCCGGGGTGAACTGTAACTGCCCAACCTAACTCCAACTTCAACTCAACTTCAGTCTAACTGATTTCTGCCGACTGGGGTCCCTTATATTGACGCCAAGAACAAACCGGGTGGTCGGTCGGCGTCAGGGGTTTCTCGATAATTTCAAAAGCCGTATTAATTTTGACTTTCCATTATCGTTATTGTTTTCACCCCTACTTTCTCACAGTTCTTGGGGGGGCGGCGCATATCTATTTCTCTTAGTCTCTCTCATGTCAGGTGATCGCTCTCAACCAATCGTTCCCGA